TTATTTATTTATTTATTTTTTTTTTGGCCAGGCAGTGTATTATCTACTGTTTTAAAAGATCAAACTGCAAAGGACATCTTTTAGTTTCCAATTACTCATATTTTCCTCGTATTCTCTTTCAGCCCTAAACTCACTGCTGCACCTGTAAATAATGATCACTCTATTTTTGCACTTATGACTCCGTCATCCTTCTCATTCCGCTTACCTTGGAGTTAACATTATTGCAATCATGAGAATGAACAAGTATTGGTTCAAACAGTTAGTATTAGTGGTTGGGTCAGAGATGAACTGTCACATTTTTCACAGACTACTCTGTTAAAATCTTTAGTTTGCACTTTTAAGTCAGTTTGAACTTCTCAAATAGCATTAATGGATGTCTGTCAGCAGCAACTAGCTAGCAATAACACATATTTTGGGTTTTTTATAGCTCAACCTATTAGTACCTCTAATTCAACAAAATTTATTTCACCTCATTTGTTGGGTGTGTGTATATAACTTTACTCCACTATGTTGGTCAAACAGATAACCTAATGACATAAAACCATCCAAGGTTGTCTTGGTCCAAAATTCACCCAGCACTTGGATCCAAAGTGAATTATTTGTTTGTTTGTGTTTTCTTTACTTTTCTGGTTTGTTGTGTGCATGATTGACAACCTCTTTCTGAGCCTGGCCTACTCTCCAATAATTGTATTTTTTTTAGAAGTGTAGGGATTTTAGACTATTTAGTTCCTAGTGCTTGTTTTCTATTTCATGATATTTCATTTCACTTCACCACTTGCTCTTGCAGAGTTCAGACACTTCTCCCTTCCCCTCCCTCTCTGCTTTGCTTTGCTGTTCTGTCTGTCTGTGAAGCTGCTTCTGAGCCTCTCTTGCATATATTTTGAACCATAATTATGGACTTGTTTTGATCAGTTGGTTCCTCAACACAATTGATAACTTTTCTTTGAAGAGAAGACAGGCTTTAGGCAAGCCAATTTGCCCTGTTGGCATGCACGCAGCTGGATATCTCATGGACTTGGAAGACTTGATGATGTATCTATCTCTGCTGCCATTTGTGGATTTTAAGGATGCATATTTAATTGGATTTACGATAACTGGTTCCTGCTTTTTGGATTCGGCTGGTTGCTGGTTTTTTCAACAATCAAGGAAGTCATTGACCCGATCATGCTGCTAGCCTTTATGATGGCTTGATTTTTGCCTCGAGTACCCAGACTCAAATGCTTTGGGCAGAATGGATCAAATCTCTGGGATTTTACTCAGTCACGTTCCATCGGTGTGGCCATGTAATTTGGACATTTTGGAACCGAGTGGACCAACACAGACTCAAGGTAGATGTCATTAAGTTATGCCTGTCCCCAAAATAAATGTGTGTTTATCTGAATTTGGCTCCCTTGGCTGGTCTTCAAGGCCATCTTATCTGAATCCGCTTGGAGAACATGTAATCTGATGCTCACCACCCCCTCCCTGAGCAATTTCCAGCTGAAAACCAGATGAAACCAGCTGAATAAACATTGTGTCATCATTTCAGGACTCTTGGATTATCATAGTCATTATTCTTGGCCATTCCCCAACATACTTTGAGAATGTAACGGAACTCACTGGCTGATTATTACATCCTTATCAGAACTCTTACAGTGCCCTCGAGAGTATCTATCAACATGCTCACCACTCTTGTTGTCTCCCCCCCTCTGCAGAATGTCTACGTCACTATGTGCTTGATTGTGTGAGAATTTTTCCAATATCAGAGTTTTTTTTTTCTTCTTAGGCAGGAAAAAATGTTTGATAGAAATTATTTTGCCTACAATTCCTACATGTGTCTAGTTTCATTACTTGTTGTCTGTTTGAGCAGATCTCACTTGTAAATGAGTATTCTAGGTTCAATGTGACGTATCAGTCTAAATAAAGGTTGAATGAATGAGTGGCAGGAGGAAATTGATTACTCACAGCTGGTATTGCTTGACTTATGAGAAGATTCCAGTACTTAATGACCTGTGAAGCATTTGGACTCTGATGGAACATTGTCCCATTTTGGATACCATGTCCAGTCTAGTGTAAGTTCATATCTTTAAGCTTTGACATAAACTGTTTCTTGTCTCATATCTCTTGTAGTTTTGTGAAACCAGTCTCCTCATCATCCTGGTTCTACCTATGTGTCTCCTCTTGCCTCCCTGTGTGCAGAATTGCCTCTTTAAGTCTTCTCTCTCTACAACCCCATCAAAAGAAAAACAACTCTACATTATACTGCCACCCTCAACCCATACTCTCCTAGTACCTAGTTTCCTTGGTCTGCTTTGCCTGCCTCTAGAGCAGTCCACTGCTGAGTGTGAAGCAAATGGGACAATGATCAGCACCTTCAAATCTAAGGCCATGGTCCTCATTTGGAAAATGGGGGATGTTCTTCCCTAGGTGGGAAGTGATGTTTTGCCTCAAGTGGATGAGTTCAAGAACCTTTGAGTTTAGTTCAAAAGTGATGGTAGATCATATAAGTATATTCATAGACAGATTGTTGCAGCTTTTGCAGTACTGTAGACTTTTTGCTGGTCCGTTGTGAAGAGTGAGCTGACCTATAAGGCGAAGCAGTTTACAGGTTGGTCAGTGTTCCTATGCTCACCTATTGACTGGATTATTGCTTATAGGGTAAGAAGTTCTGCTATCCGGAAGAGACTCTGAGTTGAGCTGCTGCTCCTCCACATTCAGAAGAACGAGTTGAGGTGGTTCGTGCATCTGGTAAGGATGCCCCCTGGATTACTCCCTTGGGTGGTTTTACAGGCATGTCTAACTAGTATGAGATCCAGACATGCTGGAGGGCCTATGTCTCTCAACTGGCCTGGAATCTTCTTGCACTCCTCCCAGAAGAGCTGGAAGTGACTGTGACAAGAGGTCTGGGCTTCTTTGTTTAAGCTGCTTCCCCTGTTACCTGACTCAGGAACAAGT